ATATGGAAACACAAGAGACCATGAAAAGCCAAGGCAATACTCAGTCAAAAGAACAATGCTGGAGGTATCACAATACCTGACTTCAAACTATATTACAAAGCAATAACAATAAAAACAGCATGGTACTGGCACAAAAACAGACATGAAGACCAGTGGAACAGAATAGAGGACCCAGATATGAAGCCACACAACTCTAACCAAGTTGTCTTTGACAAAGGCACTGAAATGTACAATGGAGAAAAGATAGCCTCTTCCACAAAAACTGCTGGGAAAACTGGTTAGCAGTCTGTAAAAAACTGAAACTAGATCCACGTTTATCACCCTATACCAATATTAACTCAAAATGGATCAAGGACCTTAATTTCAGACCCCAGACTCTAACGTTGGTACAGGAAAGAGTAGGAAATACTCTGGAATTAATAGGTATAGGCAAGAACTTTCTCAATGGAACCCCAGCAGCACAGCAACTAAGAGATAGCATAGATAAATGGGACTTCATAAAACTAAAAAGCTTCTGCTCAAAAAAAGAAATGGTCTCTAAACTGAAGAGACACCCACAGAGTGGGAGAAAATATTTGCCAACTACACATCAGACAAAGGACTGATAACCAGAATATATAGGGAACTTAAAAAACTAAATTCTCCCAAAATTAACCAATAAAGAAATGGGCAAGTGAGCTAAACAGAACTTTCTCAAAAGAAGAAATTCAAATGGCTAAAAAACACATGAAAAAATGCTTACCATCCCTAGCAATAAAGGAAATGCAAATTAAAACCACACTAAAATTCCACCTCACCCCTGTTAGAATAGCCTTCATTAGCAACACCAGTAACAACAGGTGTTGGTGACGATTCGGGGAAAAAGGAACCTCTTACACTGCTGGTGGGAATGTAAACTAGTACAATCACTCTGGAAAAAAATTTGGAGGCTTCTTAAAAATCTAAACATTGATCTACCGTATGATCCAGCAATACCACTCTTGGGGATATACCCAAAAGAATGTGACTCAGGTTACTCCAGAGGCACCTGCACACCCATGTTTACTGCAGCACTATTCACAATAGCCAAGTTATGGAAACAGCCAAGATGCCCCACTACTGATGAATGGATCAAGAAAATGTGATATTTATACACCATGGAGTTTTCTGCAGCCATGAGGAAGAACAAAATGTTACCATTTGCTGGTAAACGGATGGCATTGGAGAACATCATTCTGAGTGAGGTTAGCCTGGCCCAAAAGACCAAAAATCATACGTTCTCCCTTATATGCAGACATTAGATCAAGGGCAAACACAGCAAGGGGATTGGACTTTGATCATGTGATAATGCTAGAGCACACAAGGGAAGTATGAGGATAGGTAAGACACTTAAAAAACTAGATAGCATTTGTTGCCCTCAACACAGAGAAACTAAAGCAGATACATTAAAGCAACTTAGGCCAATAGGAGAAGGGGACCAGGAACTAGAGAAAAGGTTAGTTCAAGAAGAATTAACTTAGAAGGTAACACACATGCATGGGAAATTAATGTAAGTCAACTCCCTGTATAGCTATCCTTATCTGAACTAGCAAAAACCCTTGGTCCTTCTTATTATTGCTTATACTCTCTCTTCAACAAAATTACAGATAAGGGCAAAATAGTTTCTGCTGGGTAGCAAGGGGGTAGGGGGTACAGGGAGGGGGTTGGGGGGCGGTAACGGAGGGGGTGGGGGAAAGGGGGAGAAATGACCCAAACATTGTATGCACATATGAATAAAATAAAAATTAAAAAAATGTGGAATTTTAAAAATGTTCATGACAAATATTAATTTAGAAACTTTAGACAAACATGAATACTCAAATGATAAAATCTATCTGTTGATTAAAAGAAAGCAAAAGTGCAACTATGTAAGAGACATCATTTAAATCAGGCACTTTTCAAGAGCTTCAAGTCATTTAGAACTCAGAGCACAAAGGCAAGAGGCTCCTGAGTTCAGGGCAGCTAGACCTGTCTCAAAACAACCTCAGACCCCAAATAACAACTGCAAAAAGCTTCAAATCATTGGCAAAGATACACTTCAAAAAAACAAATTGAAAATTCGTTTTGCTCTTAGGTGTCAGTACCTAGGTTTCACATTTTTTTTAAAGCTAAGAAGCTAATGATAGCCATGAATTACCATTTTAATTGTGGTTTCATGGGTTAATTTGATCTACAGTAAGAGAGATACACAAGGCTGTTCATAGATCACAGTCTATGCAGCCTTGCTTTCTCACAAATTTTATAATTCCTTTACACCAGTCATCAGGACTTGAACTAGTATGTGTCAAATCACTTAGTAGAACATTAAAAACATGTTAGTCCCCTGGAGCCTGTTATTAGAGATTTTTTTTTTTGGTGGGCGGGGGTGGGGGAGTAGATGGTGGGGCGGGGAGGAATATGGGTGTTTGAACTCAGGGCCTTGCTCTTGCTAGGCTAATACTGCATATCCTTTCTTCTTTCATTCTGCTGTTTACTTGAATTCTTCTTGAGTTCATTCAACTGTTTTGTTTTGTTTTTTCTTTGTATTCTCTTTGAATTCATTTAGTTGTTTTTACATGTTCTCTTAAACTTGATGATTCATCATTTGAGATTTCATCCAGTCTCCTATTGTTGAAGTCCTTTATTGTGGAGAAGATTAGCTGCAAAAGCAATCATTAGTTTATAGATACCCAAACTATGTGAAGACAGTAATCCTTAATTAAAAGCAGTTATTTTCACTGCTCCATTATTTTTAAAGTAATTAAGGAGTCAAAATAATACTTCATGATCTAGCAGACGTTAGTTAATAAGAGTACTAGTGGAAAGAACATAGAGAGGTAATACTATAAATATTATAGGTTGTATGATTGAAAAAGCATGGAAGGGGGGGTAGCTACAGTTCATGGAGAATTTAATGAGAAAGAGCAAGAAGGTAAAAAGATCCAGCTTAAAGGCATAGTGAGAAAGAAAGGAGAAAGAAAAAAGAAAGAAAAAAAGAAAAAATCATCTGGCAATCTAATTTCTTGCTAAAAGTAAAGTCTATGAAGGAGGAGTGTGGATGGGGGCATAGGGAATAAAAATGAGAGAGAGAGAAAAGTACTCTTAATTGTAGAGAGAGTTGAAGTGGGAGAAGGGTATTAGAACAAGGAGTTAGAGAAGATATAATTAAAAACTGAGTATTAACCATTGGATGTTGTGGCTCACATATAATGACTTAAAAAATGAAAGGGATAGACTTAAAAAATGAAAGGGATAAACAAAAGAAAGAAAATTGCGAAGAACAAAAATTATCCAAAATAAAAATCAAGTTATTTTGTGTATGGTGCCGGAGATCGAACCCAGGGCCTCATGCATGCTAGGAGTGTGCTCCAGCACTGATCTACATCCCCAGCCCCTATAATTTCATGTTAATCTGTGTTGTATAAAGCAGTATTCCTAAGCTTTTATCTACAATTAAAAATCTTGGGGAGTTTGTTAAAATACAGCTTGAATAGTATGTCTGACTAGTTTCTGAGATTTTGTATTTCTATATAGTTCTCAGGAGATTTAAATACCTCTGGTAGGAGGGTCATACGTCAAGTAAGGAATCAATGAGAAGTCTGAGAAGAGCTTCATAGTTCCTATCTTTCTATTATGGTAGTGGATAGTTTCATGATAGGACTGCTAATTTATGTAAATATTCATTATGTAAACTTTCTTAAATTTTTAAAATCTAAAAAAGTTATAGTAAGGATGGCTTTGTAATTGTGGGATATTCTCTCACAAATCATCTATCACCAGTCATCTATCACTTGTAAATGCCACTAAGTGTGATGTTTATAAGTTGTGGGTAATTAGTACTCAGCAAGCAAGAGGCTGGATTGCACATAGGATTGCTGGGCTGTGTGAGTGTGTAAAACCCATCACAGCCAGGAAGGCAGACCACATTTCCCAACAACTCGATGAGTTTGTTTCCTCTTAGAGATAATGAACCTAGGGTTGCTGATCCAACTGCTTTCAAGAATAAGGTCTCCCTCACTTCAACTCCCTAAACTCATCAATTAATAAGATAGTGAACCTCAACTCTAGAGACCTATTTCTAGTAACTATTGTATATTAGACCAGTCACTTCTCTTCTCCTCCATTTTGTTCACAAGGAAGGAAAACTACTTCTGCCCCATCTCATTAAGAAGATCTAAGAATAACTGTAGCTATCCTTACACTGAAATATTTGGCTGACTGTCATCCCATAGTTGCAGTCATGCTTGACATTTCATCCACTATATAATTAATACTAATAACAAATTAATGAATCAATGTATCTTATTGCCATAGATGAAATGACCCTCATAGGTGCCAATCAGAAGTAGGTAGGATTTTTTTTTCCATTTTATTTTGTTCCTACTAAAATGTTATATTGAGATAGGGACCCAAACATGCCTTTTGGCTGGTGTAGCTTAAAATGGATTAAGTGAGAATTAGATGATCAGGCATGCAAAATGTCAAAATTGTATGTGTATGTGTATGTGTGTATGTGTGTGTATGCAAAAGATTCTGAGCATTCTTATGTTTTTAGAGGTCTGTGGCTTTTAAGTTATTGAAAACCATTGCAATTAGGAAAAGTCATGATTTTTTTGCTAGCATTCAAATATCACAGAAAAAACCCTGGATTGACTAGAAATGGTACCCTGTGTATTCACAAGTTGGTGAGATCACAGTATATTCAGAAAATTGTGAATTTCTTGGCATTGGTAGATGCACAAAAACTGTACTCTTAGCCAATGTTAGGGTGCTGTTGTAATTACCTGCAAAGGTTTCTTGGAGGTCTTTTGGTTGAAACAGGGTCTCACTATGTAGCCCATTCTGACCTTGAACTTGAGATTCTCCTCCTTTAGCCTCCAGGGTACTGGGATTATAGGCACATGCCACCCCATCCAACCTCAAAGCTTTCATTACATAATATAATTGTGAAATTAAAAATGATTTAGAATCATTGGCAATTGATGGCATTTTTTTTCTTACAGAATTTGCCATCTGCTGTAGTAACTCATGTTCTGAATCCTCAGCCTGGAGAGAAGATTCTAGATATGTGTGCAGCACCTGGAGGTAAAACAACACATATCGCAGCCCTAATCCACGATCAGGTGAGACGGTCATCATAACAAAACTGCTCTCAGCATGTTACATATTTCACTGATGAAGGTGAAACTGCATGTTACTTAGTAAACATACAGACAATTTTAATCCAATTTATTTTAGATTCAGCCAAAGTGACTATTCTGTTACATCAATTGCCATTTCAAATTCAGTAGACAATTATTTTTGTGAAGACTGCCTTGAGACCTTGAATCTCCAGTTTGCAAATGCTGTTACGAAATAGAATTATTCCCTCATAAAATTAAGTTTAAAACATTTAAGAGATCTTTTCATGTTCATGATTGTAAGGTTTCACATTTGTTTGTATTACTAGAATAAACTGCCACTAAAAATTAACTTGATGGCACATTATCAGTTATGAAATATGTAAATGAGCACACACACACGTGTGTATGTAAGAAGTTCTGTGTGTGTCTTGAAGATCATGTAAACCTTATGATCTTGCTTCATTATCACAAAATATGAGAAAGTCTTACCTTGGATAACTCTAGTTTAGATTTTACTGTGTTCTCTTATGTATACACATTTGCCAAGGTGTTGTCTTTTATTATGGGCTGGTTTTATCTGTGTTCAGAGCTCATTGTAGCCTGTACACATTTTATTCTGAAGACACAGCCATTTGATGCCATCTTTTTTATTTCAAACTCTGGAAAACTAAATGGTGCCTAAAATCCTGAAATATACTAGAATTTTTACCTATAATAGATTTTTTGATCTAGAGCTGGATATTGATTGAATAACAATTTATTTAGTGCTTACTCTGTGCAAAATATGAGTAATGTAGCCTGGAACTATAGTGATCAAAATTTCTGTTTTCATGGAGCAAACATTGCAGTGACAGTAGATATACAATAAATAAATGAGTAGAAGATTTGGCCTGTGGATTCTGATAAGTACTATAGTGAAAATAAAGCAGGGTGACAGAAATAGAGACATCCAAGGGGAGGGGAATAAGTTTGAAGTTTTGAGTATTAATGCAGAAGTTCCACAGTGTAGTATTTGTGAAAAAACTTAAAAGTGCAGAGCAATGTGGAAGTGAAAAGAATGTTCTAGCTAGAGGAAATAATAAGCATAAATAGACTGAAGTAGGAGGGTACATAACTTGTTTGAGGAATCTCAGTTTTGCTGAAGAAGCCTAATTGATAAGAGAAGGAGAAAAAGAGTTCACAAAGTTAGGGTCAGGGAAGGGCTTTTGGGCAGACAAGTTTTGTGTGGTCGTCTGACAGGACATCTGTTTTACTCAAGTGATGGGAAGCCATTGGAACTTTTTTAGCAGAAGAGTGATGTAAGCCTTCTTATTATTCAAAATATTATTTTGGTTTCTGAATTGAGAACAAATTATAAGTGCAAAAGGCAGAAAGAGACCAGTCAGGAGACTGTAATTAAGGATAAAGTAGTGGAGATGGTAAAAAGTGGTTGGTTCTGATTATGGTTTTAAGGTAAAGCTATTAGGTGGTGCTAATAGATTGAATATGGGCTGTGAAAGTGAGTAATTGGAGGGGTGGAGTTGTTACTGGCTATGGGGTGACTATGAGAGGAGCAACTTTTGCAAGAAAAATCAAATGTTAAAAATTAAAAAGTCATCATAAGACAGTGAACAAAGACTTTAAAAATGTTGATGAGAAAAGAGCAAGTAGATCTCAAGAATGAGCCTCACAGAAGTGGTTTTGCCTTGTGTATATGGAAGAGAGAGAAGCATGAGAGCAAAGGATGTATAAAGGAAATAATGTCACCCAGTTTACTGCACACAATTCACAATAGCCATGTTATGGAATCAGCCTAAATGTCCAACAGCTCATGAATGGATAAAGAAGTTATAGTATATATATATATATATATATATATATATATATATATATATATATATATACACAGTGGTATATATTGAGTCATAAAGAAGAATGAAATTTTGTCATTTGCAGGAAAATGGATGGAACTGAAAATCATTAAACCAGAGCCAGAAAGACAAATATCACATGTTCTGTCTTATATGAAGAGTCTTGATCTACAGGCAGACAAAGAAACAAAAAGACATGAATAGGGGAGTAATTGTGATGTATCAGAATCTAAGAAGGGTAAAGTGTTAGTAAGAACATTGAAAGGGTGAGGGTAGACCAGTGCTTTTCTAAATTAGGTCAGAGTTTTACAATGGCAGGAACTCTTAGGAATCTTGAAAACTCAGCTGTTATCTTTGTGGTACTAACATAAATATCTGGGGCAAGTCTGCTGACATAAAAGATATACCTCTATAAAGCTTACTGAAGCTCTTTTTATGTAGCTGATTTGTTTAATAGAAGGAATACTCTTTGTGCTCCCACCCACAAAAGTGCCAGGTGATGAAATTTATCATTGATCTACATTTGGTGATAATCTTGATATTGTCAAGGAATTTACAAGAATTTTTTTTTAAAAATGCTGAAGCATTTACTCTGCAAAGGCAACATTATCTTTTCTTTTGTGTTAGTGTAAATCATGTTAATTATTCAAAGACTTCTGTGGAAAGATTCACATTACACATTAGTATTTAACCTTATAAGAACTTCCGAAATATTCAGTGTTACAAGCAGAAGGGGATAAGAGTGTGTATATACATATGAATTTATATTTTCAGTACATACATTGAAGGATCAAAATTACCACCCTGTAGTACACACGTATATGCAATGTGTTTATTATAGTATATATATAACTACACATACAATTTGCAATTGCACTGATGTTAACTTCAATGAGTAACCTTAGGTCCAATCTCCAATAGTAAAAGACAGTTTTTTAAATTTTGAAGAATTAGTCATCTTGGTTTATTAGATGAGATACTCTTTGGTTTTCTTTAGTTTTGTTTTATTTTAATAATTTTTTATTATTAGGATATATTTGTTGTAGGGTATATTGTCTTAAAGCAATTGCAAGAGGTTTCATTGTTCTACTTCATATAAGTATATGAAGTCTTATACTTCATATAAGTATATGAAGTCCATCAACTATTGCCTCACCTTAATCTCCTTTGTTCACCCTCCTCCCTCCTCCCACCAGTACACACTCTCACACACACTGTACCTATTTTACAGTCCTGTCTTTAGTTACTAATTTCTAAGTCAGTGTTCAAAGGGGTTTCTTGATGTATCCCCACTGTGGGTATACTTTACTTTGGTCAGTTCAACCTCTTCCATTGCTTTCCCTTACCCCTTCCCTCCCACCCCCCATTTTCAACAGCTTTCAATACATATCCTTATATCTAGAGGAGATGCTCTTGCCTGTTTCTTTTTTATACTACTCTTTGTCCAATAAGAATTTTAGTATTAGCAGTAGCTTTTGATGAAAAAATGCATTATTTGCACCAGTGTATAAAATGAAGCAAATGAAATAGAAACGTTCATTTTATGGAGTTGTAGTGCTTTGTGCAAATCCTTTTTCAGTTTACTTGGAAGTTTAAATATGAAAAATTATGATGTGCTTTGAAAAAGTGTTAATAATCCCCCTTTAATTAATGTTATGTTATTGTATTTACCTAAAGGTAATCATTCATAGATTTTAAATTCTTGTGGTGCTAGAAATTGAATCCAGGGCCTTGTGCATGCTAGGCAATCACTGTACCACTGAGCCACACCTCTAACTCCTAGACATTTTATTCTCTTTAGTAAAAACTCTTTCCAAAGGGAGTCTGAAAATTGTAGTTATATCCATTTTCAGTTGGTTTATAATATCATGTAAAAACAAAACCTTGGCTGCATGCACCTAAACATTTATTCAGCTAAGGGGTCTTTGGGACTCATCTGATCCCTATTAGACTTGCTCATGCACCTGCTCAGCTACTGGTTGGCTGGGTGGCTCTGGTAATCTTGACTGGACTCATTCACTTGGATTTGCATGTTTTTCACTTATCTAAAGAGACCTTAGCTAAGACAACTAGGATGCCCCGCCTTTCTGGTCCATGTGTCTCTTCTGCTAGGATCAGAGGGCTGACCCAGCACAGGGCAATAGTTAGGAGCTGGAGATGGCAAGGAGCAAAGAAGAGCAGATACACCGCTGAAGCACTTTTCATGTTTCTGCATCACATTTACTGTCACCCTAGTGGCCAAATAAATCACATGGCACTGCACCCCATCAGAGTGTCAAGAGTGGTTGTCTAATGAAGGATGAACAAATAGACATAAGAAAAAGGACATGAGTATAAAAGGGGACTGCTTTGGGGGAGAAACCAGCAGGAGGGGGAAGGACTAAAGGAGAAGGTAACAGGATGAATATGTTTGAAGTACATTATGTGCATGAATACAAATAGAACAATGAAACCCATTAAAATTGTTTTTAAAAGGTGGGAGGGGGAATAAGAAAGAGCGATAGAGGGGCCAAAAATGATCAAAGTGTGGAAAATGATGCATGTGTGGAAATGTGACAATTAATATACGCTAAGAAAAATAATAATGAAAGTAGCTAGCTGTCAGAAGATTAATTATCCCACAAGCATGTGTGTGGGATTTTTTTTTTTAAATGGAAACACCTATGTATTTGATATAAATTGGGTTGGGTTTTTTTGTTTGTTTTTGCAGTGCTGGGAATCAACTTTGTGATCTTGTATATGCTAGGCAAGCACTCTATCACACCCTACCTGATGTAATGACACATTCGGTTAATGAATTCAGCATGAAAAGTAGGGGTGAGAGGAAAATAGGGAAGACCATAATTTCATAATTTTTTAACAGTTTTTTGTATTATTAATGTTCACAACTACTTTGGATTTACATTTTCTTTTTTTTTTTTTTAGGGAGAAGTAATAGCACTGGATAAAATATCCAATAAAGTAGAAAAAATAAAGCAGAATGCTTTATTGTTAGGGCTAAATTCTATCAGGGCATTTTGTTTTGACGGAACAAAGGCAGTTAAAGTTGATACGATTGAACACACAGAAGGTAACTTAAATTTTTTTTATTTACTTTATTCTTTTTGATTGAAAAATCATAATTGTATATCTATATTGGACATAATGCAGTGTTTTGGTATAAGTATAAAAGTATAGTGTTCAAAAAAAGCTAATTAACATATCCATCATTTGTTTTTGTGGCAAAACATTTGAAATTTACTCTCAACAATTTTGAAATACATTACTACTAAGTATAGGCATCATGATGCACAATAGATCTCAAACATTTATTCCTCTTTTTCTAGTTGAAACCTTGTCACTTTTGTATAGCATCTCTCCCTTCCGTTCCTTCTCTCCTCTCCTGGTCTCTGGTAACCACTATTCTACTCTGCTTCTATGAGTTCTATTTTTTTTTTTTAGTACTGGGTTTTGTACTCAGTATCTCACACTTGCTCAGCAGGCATTGTACCACTTCAGCCAAGCCTCTAGCCCTTTTTGCTCTGGTTATTTTTGAGATTGGGTCTCAGTTTTTGCCTCTGTGGACCTGAACCATGATCCTCATATTTTATACTTTGTGTTGTAGCTGAATGATAGATGTGTACCCTGTGCCCAGCTTTTTCTGTTGAGATCGGAGTCTCTCTAACCTTTTGGCCTGGGCTGGCCCCAAACCACAATTCTCCTGAAGTTAGTCTCTTGTGTAGCTGAAATGATAGGTGCCAATAAAGCTAGCAATGGATTTCTCACGTTACAAATCAGGAGACTGGAATGATACAGTTCAAGTGTTGCAAAAAAACAGTTATAACAGCAAAACTGAGAAGGAACATTTTAATTAGCAAAGCTGTCCTTTAGAATAGATTTAAAACTTTCCCAAACAAAAGCTGAGAGTTCACCACCACCACCCGACCTGGATTATAAGAAATGCTACAAAGAATTCTTCAAAAGGAAATTATAAAACTTTGAAATTTAGGGGAAATATGAATATACAGGCACAATAAGATCAAAGATCTCCAATCAGATTCAACCCAAAGAAGACAACACAAAAACATAAATCAAGCTGTCAAAAATAAAAGACAAAGAGAGAATGCTTAAAGTAACTAGAGACGATGCATATCACATGTAAGAGATGAGTGAGCTATGGCTAGAGCCAACAGGGCTTTCATTTTTCTCACCTTGCTGTGCCTGGGATAGGGCTTCATGCCTGCAAGTGTGGATTGGGTACATGAAAACAGCCCAAGTTTTCAGCTACTCTTCCCTGCCATACAGCTGTGTGGCATGGTACTGGGGTAGATGAGAAAAGCTGACAAGGGTACCCATGCCACTGAGATACCACATTTCTTGCATTCCTTGAGTGGGAGCTTTAGAAAAGGGATTATGTGTTCTTGGCTGTGTCCAGAACTTGAGCTTCAGGAAAGGGAGAGGATGTTGGAGGAAAAAGCAGGAGAAAGGAGTGGGTCATAGTTCAAATACTATAGATTATCACTGTTCTTAAGGAGTTGTCAATTTTCTTGAGTAAACGTTTCCTCATTTACTGTATATTCTTAGGACATTTCCCTGAGTCATTAAATGTGCATCCCTTCTCTTAATCACCCCTCCCCCAGTCTACAGAGCTCCTCAGATCGTTATCCCGAAGTCATTTCAAATTCATTTATTTTTAACATAAAGATACTTTAAAGTTATATACCACCCAAAAATAATAGAGTTTTAGAAATCCCTAAATGTAGTTGCAAGATTATAATTATGTGGAAAAGTTTTTAATAAGCAAAATGTGGTTATTCTTATTGTACAAATAATTCTTAAAAGTCTATATCCTGGCCTTTCTAGGTTTTAAATAAGAGAAATTTCACTTGCACCGAATACATTTGGGGATTATTTCAGTGATCTTGTTCTTTAATGTCTGTATAATCATCTGGTGCCTTCCATGGAAATAGTGTTTACTAGAAGTGGTGAGGTTAGCCATTGTCATTACCCTTCATAGAGATACCAGATATGGTTGTGTGTCCTATTCAAGGGTGAATAGGGTCTGAAATGCAGTCCCTGGCTGGTTTGTCATGGTGCAGGACTCTGTTAATACATCACTCAGGTACTTTGTGGGCTTGCAGATTTCTTGGCTTTGTAGAGAATTGTTGAAAGTTATGTTTTAGATTAATTCATCTGATCACAGGGATAAGAAAACAAACAAAAGCTGTATAAGATATTTCAATACATAGGATTTAGTGTAAATTTATATTAGAGGAACACAATTTAGTATTTATGAAATAAAACAGTATGAGGAACTAGGTGAATAGATGTTGGAGAGCTGATACAGTAAAAGGCCAGCATTGTGACAACCTAGAGCCAACAACTGCAGGAAGCAGCCCCCTCTTCCAAAGCTGGAGAAAGATGGAGCAGCTACTTCCCAAGACCAAAATGCTGAGCAGAGAAGCTCTTTTGAGCTAGGTATGGAAACTCCCAGGAATGGTGTACTGCCTAGCTGTTGATTGTTCTTGCAGTCTCAGAGCAGGGCACTTCCTGGAGCTGAAATGTGAATCTCTCTTGCAGAGGCATCTATCTATTCTGTACTGATATTTAAGGTAAAAGGCCAAAAAAGTGCTGATGCCAAGTTAAAGAGCTGTTGTTCGGAGATTTTGATAGGAACAGCAAATAGACAGGAAGGAGACATTCTGTGGTCTATTCCTCTTGTCTTCCGTCTTCTTTTTCCCATCACTCGTAGTGGGCACTCTTGGAGCAAACAGGCAAAGGAGGATTATAGTTTGCAGAGTTCCCACCTCAGCATCACATAGCAAAGGATATACAAGGGTAGAATTAGAGCTAAGAAAAAAATAACTTAATATCTAGCATGTTCTGGAGTAGAATAGAAACCCTTAAAATAAATTCAGGTATACATAAGAATTTTGAATTTGATAAAAGTACCATTCCAAAACTGTAGGAAAGAGTAAACTGGTCAATAAAATAGGTCAAGAAGGATTAGAGTTTAGTGTCAAGATTGAATCCAGGGAGTCAATGAATCATTCTGAACTACAGCCATAGCCATACTGATGGGCACAAAAACAAGGAGGCTTGAAGAACAACAGAACCAGTATGTCTAACCACAACCTAACAGGCTCTAACTTTTTATGAAGCTGTCTACTGTAGGAATATTGAAAAGAAATACCAGTTTCCAGAGTGACTAGAATTAATTGCAGATTCTAAGTCTGATGCAATTTGGCTTCTAAAATTAAGTCAGTATTAGTTTAGCCAGCTACTTGATTAAAGTGATAAATTATTCTTTGTTTTCTGTTCTGCACTGTAATTTTAAATTCCTGGTTATTGCTTTTCTCTCAAGAGTTTTCTATTCCAGACCAATGTGGCAGAGAGCAAATATGTTTATAATTGTCTTTATAGGGGCACCTCCATTCTTACCAGAATCTTTTGACCGAATTCTCCTTGATGCACCTTGTAGTGGAATGGGACAGAGGCCAAATATGGCTTGTAATTTGACTTTGAAGGAAGTGACATCATATCAACCACTACAGCGAAAACTCTTCACTGTGGTATGTGATTATCCTGTGCTGTGAAAGAAAGAAGTCTGCTAGTTCTGTGTTCAGTCCACTGAGAAGAAGTTCATAGCAGCATTATTCACTGCTTCCCAAAGGTAGAAACAGCCCAGGAGACCACTGACAAATAAATGGATAAACAAAATTTGCTGTGTCTATACATGGAATAGGCTACCATGTAGAGATTGTGCTTAAGTAAGTCAGACACAAAAGGGAAGATTTTGTATGATTCCATTTATATGAAGTAACCAGAATAGTCAAATTCATCATGACACAAAGTAGAACCAAGGAAGTTAGGGGAATAGGAAAAAGAGGAGTTACTATATAAGGGTTATAGTTTCAGTTTAGGATGATGAAAAAGGTCTGGAGATGAATAATCATGATGATTCCACAAATGTACTTAATGTTACTGAATTGTACACTTAAAATGATAAAAATGGACTGGAGGTATGGGTCAAGTGGAGAGCACCTGCCTAACAAGTAGGAAGCCCTGAGTTCAAACCCCATCACCAGAAAAAAAAATAGTATGTTTTACTACACACAAAGGAAAGACTTAGAAGATGTAGGGTTTTTGTTTGTTTGTTTTTGGTTTTTGGGACAGTCTCATTATGTTCTGTAGGCTGGCTTCAGAGTCAAAATCCTCCTGCTTCAGCCTCTTGAATGCTGGAACTATAGGTGTGTACCTCTATACCAAGCCCTAGTTTTGAATATGGGGAGCTTTCCTTTTTGTTGACTCACCCTTTAAAATAACAGAGGTAATGGTAGAACATCTTCATTGGGACACTAAATGAATTTCAAATATTCTGCTTTATCTTCAAAAAAAAGTGCGTTCATATATAGTTACTAATGGGTGTAAAGAATTTTATTTAAATAACTTTATAGATTTTGTGGGTGATCTTTGATAGCAGAGACAAACATACTGTTAAAAATGGGAAATGACAGTGTCTAGTATAGAATGTAGAAGGACCATAAAAACTTTGCAAATTTAGTTGATCTGCAGTATGTTTCAAAAGCCCAAACAGAACATTTAAAGATTTCTGTCAGTCTTGCAGAAATGACTCAGTGGATTTCACAGAATCCAGGCAGTATTTGGTCAAAGATGAATTCATTATTTCCTCTTAGTCCACCAGCTATAAATACATAGACAATAGAAATGGTGGATACACCATAATTATTTAATCTCAAAAGTTGTCTTTGAGTACATTTCTACTCATCTTCCTACTGTCTCCTTTTATACACAAATGAAGCACTGGCTGTGGGTTACTTAACTTCTTTTTCTATACAGTCTTTCAAGAATACCTCTATGATATTAAAACAAGCAAGATTTTTCTTGCAGATGAAATCCACTTTGACTTGAGGAAAATCTAAGTTATTTATTTATTTATTTTTGTTCCTATTTAGGCCATAGCAGAAATGGAAATTCAAAAAGGCTACTAGGAGTAGACACAGGATTTCAGTGAGCAGGAACAGCTGACCATATGAGAGAGAACTTAAGAGAGCAGGTGCTCCACTTGGCATGGATAGAAAATCGAGAATGAGGACTTTAGGGTTAAACCCGTATTGACTTTCTGCCATGCTCTCCCACATAAGTAATTTTAGGTACATTGATTTCCACATTAGAGAAACAGGAACAAGAAGTCATGCTAATAGGTAGGGTTCCCTCATTGGAAATATTGACCGTGATTCTTGGTTAGGATTTATTGAAAAAATCCATATGAAATGTTTCATGTAATAGCTGGCTGGGACATAGTTAACAAAGTTTAATTTTCTCTAGTTAAGAAGTCACAGGTATTATAAACTTTTGTGGTTGTTTGAGAAGGGTTCTCGACGTAGCCCAGGCTGGCCTGTAGCTCACTAGCCTCCTGCCTCAGCCTTCTAAGTGCTGATTACAAGCCACCAGGCCCAGTTTATACTGTATTTTTAAAAATTATTTTTACTAAAATTTTGAAAAATAAAATCTGAGAGTCTGAAAAACTAAACTAGTTATTTGGGAAAATTCATTTTCACATAGCACCTCATTGCCTGACTCATTTACGTGACAAACAGTCATTGAGCACTTACTATGTGCAAGACACTTATCTAAATGTTGACAAAAAGAACAGCTAGGTATGGTGGTGAATGCCTATAATCCCAGCACTCAGGAGGCCAAGGCAGGAAGACCATGAGTTTGAGGCCAGCCTATGCTACATAGCAAGACCCTGTCTGAAAACAAACAAAAAGCAGACAAACAATGTGTACCTTATTTCTAAAGTTTCTATTCTAACTGGTGAAAGAAAAAAAAAACCTAATATATTATAAGGCAGTAATGCTGTGGAGCAAAGTAAGGAAGGTGGAATAGGATTGTTGGATTGGATTGTTTGGGATTTTACATAGGGTGGTCAGGAAGAGCATTGCTGAAAAAGTGACATACAAGCAAAGAAAGGAGGATTATGAAGAAAGAAGCAATGCAGAGAGTCAGGAGAGCTTTCCATGCTGGTGCAAGGATCCTGAGGTGGGAGTGATCCTTGTATGTTCTGGAATAGAGAGAGGCCAGGGTTGCCAAAGCAGAGTGAGCACGGCAAAAAGGTGATGAGGTGAGGGCTGAATAGCAAGAGACTTGTCATTGGAGAGCCTTAAAGGCCTCTTTAAAGACTCTTTGACTCTTAAGTGGTAATGGAGGCATTTGAAGCTGAGAAGTAACAAGTTCAACAGGACCACTCTGACTGCTATGTTGAGAAGATGGTAGGAGAGTAGGGAAGTACTCAGATAGAGTTAATTGTTGCAGTAATACTGGCAAAAGATAAGGAGGCCTAGAACAAGATAATACCAGTAGAAAGGGTGAGAAATAGCCAGATTCTGGATGTATTTAGATAATAGTGCCAATAGGATTGGTTGTTGGATGAGGATTGTGAAAGAGGCATAAATGATATTCTAAGTTTGGGGCTTGAACATCTGCAGTAGGTTTCAAAGGGAAGTTAAGGGCTTACTTTGGGACATGTCAAGTGTCATACTAGAGACAGGCAGTTGTTGAGACAGCAACTGAATACATGAGTATGGAATTCAGAAAGGAGATTGGTCTAAGAATGTAAATTTATGAGTTTTCAATGTACAGATAGTATCTAAAGGCATGAAACTGAAAGATTATATTTGAGAGTCTTGGTCCATATGGAGTATGAGGGTTTCAAGGAAATGAACTGTGTCTAGTCTAGAGCAAACATTACACTCTAATGAGAGAAGGAATCCTTACCATATAGGGGATCATTTATTTCTACCAAATACTTGAAAGCTGTCATCCATTGTTGTGTAAATCCCTTCAAATGTTTACTTGGTCTCGAGGTATGCATGGTCTGAGTATAGCTTTCTTTAGGCAGTTCAGCTGCTGAAGCCAGGTGGTGTGCTGGTTTATAGCACATGCACTGTAACACTGGCGGAAAATGAGGAACAAGTCGCCTGGGCCCTCAGAACATTTCCTTGCCTTCAGCTTCAACCCCAGGTGAGAGCTTTATTCTTCCTCTGTGTAATCTGAGGAAACTGAATTGTGGTGGCATAAATAGGGAGTTGGCTGAAGAAATAGGTAAATCTTCTGAAACAAATAACTTGTAATAAATGAGAATATTTCTCTAGTTAGATCCATCTTAGACTGCCCATGAGGAATTTGCATATTCTGATGATGTGGTACAGAATGTTGCTTCTTTACAGTTTATTATGTTAAATATATGACATTTAAAAGCCTCTTGTACTTTTTTTACCTAGCATTGGTCTGTTATATTTATTAATCTGTAATAATACAATTATTCAAAGACATTGAACATCTAACTTTACTACCCTCCTATAAAGAAGTCTAGTAGGTAATTGCAATATAGTCAGACAATGCAGAGATGGTGTCTAGACTCAGAAATTAAGATAATTACATTGTAGACGCAAGGAAGACTTCAAAATTCATGTGCAATTTGTACCTAAAAGAAATGGAATGTTGTTTCCTCACTTCATGGGATAATTATGTTTTCTTAACTATATGTCTAAAAAACTTGTCTTCATTGATATACAAACATGTGTCTGTAAATTGGTGGCTTAAATTAGGATTATGAATTTTGTGCATTAGTGGTTTGTAAGAATTCCTGAGTTCCTTATGATTCTCTTTTCCTTTTAGCTATTTGATGTAGCCTTAATTTATAATATTTGTAATAATTTTTCCTTAGTGCATGTAAAAGCAAGAAAACTTTTGTCATCCATTTGGTATGGGTGAAAGTAAGGCATTTTGGATGTCTATGGAACTCCTTTCAGAGTTTTAGAGAATGATAAAGCTGACTTTTATCTATTGCCTTATTGGTAACATTCCATTTACTGAGTGCACTCTATATGCCAGGCATACTACCTTAAGATTCAGAATCGAGTATTTTACTTATTTCATGCATGAGGAAATGGGTTAGGTAAAATATACGGTCACACAGCTAAAATGTGCTAGTTGCAATTTGCATCCGTATGTTTCCAACTACGAAGTTCAGGTGTTTTGTGATGTCGCAGAAGTTGATGAGCATTCTTTTATACTACTTTCCCATTACCCACAAAACAGCATGTACATGCCACAGAAGGAAAAGGTAGTTACTTATTTTTCTACTTCTGGAAGATGTGAATGTACATCCCAGTTTGTCTTAAATTGTACTAGGCCTCCTTACTAATATCACACATATTTATTCATTTTTTTCCCAACAGGAGCCGCAGATCGGAGGAGAAGGAATGATGGGAGCTGGTCTGTCATTTGAACAATTGAAGTGGTTACAACGATTTGATCCATCTTTTGTGTCATTACAGGATACTGACATTGATTCTCTTAGAGATGCCAGAATAGAGGACATGATTTGGCTGGCAAATAAGGATTGTATAGGTTTTTTTATTGCAAAATTTCTAAAATGCAAAAGCACATCAGAGAAAGATCCTCAGAGATGAAAATTGCATATTTGCAGTCTTGTTTTTTCTCTTAGACCAAAGTGTTATCAGGCTATCTGAGTGATGGCATAGTTGCTAAGGAAACAGAAAGCTGCCAGCAATTTCACCAAGGTCAGAGACACAGAGGAAGTGTGTGTATATGTGCGGGGGTGGGAGGATCGGGGGAAGTATTTTCTGTGAAACTGTATCCTGGATTTATAAACAGTTTTTCTTTTTTTATGGATTTACTAGCTATAAAGAAAAGAGCGAGCTGCCTGTAGATGTCTAGAATATATTTCATTTGGGATGTGTTTTAGTTTGTGAAGAATACTAGTCTTTTCTATGTTAAACATTTGTGGATATAAAAAAATAATAAAATTAGTAATATTTAGTATTGCTAATTGTTTTCTATTCCAAAGTACATAAGTGGTTATCTCATTAAAAATTCAGGGCTTGAGGGCTGGGGATGTGGCTCAGTGGTTAGAGTACTTGCCCGGCATGCACAAGGCCCTGAGTTCAATTCCAGCACCACACAAAAAAAAGTTAACAGAATTCAGGGCTTGGGAAATATAACATTTACCATGTGGCCATAACTCAGGTATGTATGTTCACACTGTATGCTTATTATCTGTTAAATCAACCCCTTTTAAATGAAATCTGGAGCTCTTCTAAATGATAGTCTTCAAACTAAAAAAGAAAATGAGTATTTTATAGATAAAAAATGAATGAGAATATTCCACATTTTGGGTACCTTTTATCATTTGTAGGAACACATCTTATACAAGTTATTAGAAAATGTGAGAAAAGCAGCTCAGAGCAGATACATAACAGATGTTTATTGAATGAGATAAGAATTATTTCAAATTTCCTAAGATTCAGATTCATGAACAAATCCTTTATATCCCTCATGCCTTGTGTCCAGTAGATGCCTTTTGACTAAAAAGAAATATTGTTTACTTTTGGCCCTTCTGTTTGTGGGCTCAGCATGTAAGAGAATAAATGTGAGGGGAAATAAAATGGCAGAAATGTCCCTGGGAACAAACGCCAGAAATAACCTCGAGGATGTAAATGTAAAGGGATGGATGGCAGAAGTAACTTGTTTTAGATAAAGGAGACAGGAAGGCATACTTAAAAGCAGAACATTTAGGGAGATGTGAGAAACCAGCTGCGTATAGGTGCAGGGGGACAGCAGTTTTTCTTCCTACATAAGGGAAACAAGATAAGACATTCCTAAAGGCAGACATCTAATGGGATTAAATATAGACCCCTAAAAGGAGAGTAGCACAGTAAATTTTCCCAAGATAAACAAAAAGGGGTCTAAGCAGAATAATGAGCAGTAGTCATAAAATGTATGTGATTAGCCTAAAGGATGGGATAGACTAACAAGACCCTCTTAGAATCTCCAGTCTGATAAGGATGGAGGACAATTAGATGTATGAGCTTGACCAAAAGCAAGGGAAAAAAAACTAGACAGTCAATTATAGCCACAGTATTAAAGGTAGAGTTGGGGGGCAGGTATGCCTAAGTTGGCCTCTATATAATCTCATGAACTTCAGTCATCCTTTGGCTTAGCTCTTTCAATAAACCCTGCCCATCAGGGTGCTTTGCCATCCTTTCTGTAAACTTGTGCTTGCTTTATTCTTAATTCCTGGTCTGTGGGGTGAACTTACTTTAACTCCTAACTGCTTATCTGGTGCCTTCAGTTGTCAACTGTGCCAGCATAACTCCTCAGATTTTAAATGTTATCTTAAGAAACTCTACAAAATCTATTTCCTCTTATGCTTTCTACAAAGCCTTATGTTTTAAGCTGAGATGAAAATGGTAGAAAAGTAACACAGCAACAATGAATTTAGGGCCTTGCTCTTGCCTCCCCAGCCTCAGTTTTTGAATAATAATTATACAACTTGGGCTGGAGGCATGGTTCAAGTGGCAGAGCACTTGCCTAGCAAGTGCGAGGCTGAGTTCAAATCCTAATACTGCCAATATATAAAAATTAGAAAAAAAAGATAAAAATGCCACCCAAACAGAATAATATATGCATATTTAAACCAGTAAAAACAATGAATATTGTTAAAATGAAAATTTTGTTGGCCTTCCATTCAAAAATTCAGCAAATTGGAAAATGAAACACAATTGCAATTTTAAGAGAAATAATGTAAGAAAAAAATGCAATGAAGGAGATTCCAAGATTGCAACTTAGAGGGAGGAAGCAGAAAGTGTGCCTCCTAAAGTAAAATCTTGGAGAGACGCTGGAGCACACCTTACAGGAAAAACCACCAAGAAGAGGTAAAACTCTGACACCGCCACAACCCAGCCCATGCATAGCATCCCCACTCCACGGTAAATGGAGAAACGAGGAGGGCTCCGCACTGCCAGATACCAGCACCTAACCTGCTTGGGAGAAGCAGAGCACCAGGTGAGCTAAGCATCATGTGGTACTCCCACAAACAACCCTGGGCCAGATCAGCATAGCTTCCTGGACAGACTGACCCCCACCCAGGGAAAAAAGAGAAACTGAATAATAACAATAACAAAAAGACATGTAGCAAAGAGGGCAGGGCGCCTTGAGCTCCGAAGGAGGGGGGAGGGGCAATCCCTCACAGAACTGTAAGTAAACAAGCTGGGTGGAGAAGGTAGGAGCGGCGGCACCCTTCCAGCAAACTTGGAGCAGGAAAGCTTGTAACAGTGTTGTGAGGAGGGTTCTACTGGAGAGCAGGGAAGGGGCACTTCTCACGTGATCTGTAAATAAGATGGCCAGAGAAGGTGGGTGTCCCCCAGTGTGCCTGGAGAGGGGAAAGCTTGTAACAGTGGCTGTTGTGCCCAGGAGAACTCTTAAGTAAACAAAGCACACAGGGCTAGGTGAGTGTTAAGCTCAGGACTGCAATCAGTAAAGCCTCCAGCAACAGCTGGCTGACAGCAGCAGGCAGGTGAGCCTCAGCCTCAGATAGACATTCACAAAGCTGTCTCCAGACTGTTTTTTTTTTCTTTTTTTCTCTTCCTTTGATGTGACAACAACAGAACTAGAATTGGAAGCTGAAAGATTCAAATTCAATTTGAACTTGGGATTTTTGTTTTGTTTTTGTTGTTTTGTTGTTTTTTCTATTTTGTTTTTTGGTTTTTTCCCCTTTGATGAGACAATGACCGAACTACTTCTGAGACACTGTCTCCAGGATTGGAGGCTGAGGGACTAACACCGAAATTATTAAGACTGAAACTTTATTGCATTTGAACTTTGGGATTTTTTTTTTAATCCTCTGTCTCTCTAATGCCTGTTCAGCTTACCATTGATTAGTACACTATCTCTCCCTGTTTATTTCTTTGGCATTTTTTTTGTTACTGTTTTTTCAATTGTTTGTTTTTCCCTTTTTCTTTACCTTCTTTACTTTTTCTCTCCTCTCACCCTTCCATTCTAGATATCACCATTGTTATTATTACAAGCTGGACAATACTGAATTACACACAGTACAGAGACAGTAACAATAGCAAGGGCAATGACGGGAAGACAGACAAAACAGGGAAACCAGTTTCCTCCCAGTAATAAATTAGTACAGGAACTAGAGGGAAATGAAGAAAACAGATACTTAGATCCAGACTCCAACAAAACAAAGATAAACTATGCCAAAGAATCCAATGAAGCCCAAATGAACACTCTGAAAGAAGAAATCCTGCAAGTAATCAATGAGAATTTTATAGAGATGATACTGGAAATGGTCAACCAAAATGTACAGGAGACACTCAAGAAATTCCAAGACAACAAAAATAGAGAATTTGAGAAAGCACAAGAACAAAAAAAGAAACTATAGAAGCACTGTATAAACACCAAAGTGAAACAAAGAACAAGATAAAGAGATAAATGAACTCAGGATGAAAATAGACAATATTACAGAGGAAGGGACTCAAGATATGGAAAACCTAAGAAAAAAGAATGAAACAGAAATGCAAAACAAAATGGAAGGCCAATCCAGCAGAATAGAACAAGCAGAACACAGAATCACAGAACTCGACGATGAAATGGTAATTAAAGGAAAAACCGAAGAACTATTAACTCAGACCTGTGAAAAGAAATGCAAGAACTTAACGACTCCATTAAAGGACCAAACCTGAGAATCATGGGCATTGAAGAAGAAGAGGTGCAAGCAAAGGGAATGTGTAATATATTCAACAAAATAATTAGAAAATTTCCCAAATCTAGAGAAGTCTATGCCCATATAGGTGCAAGAGGACTCCAGAACACCAAACAGACCTGACCAAAATAGAACTACCCCATGGCATATTATCATTAAAACAACAACTACAGAGACTCGAGAAAGAATATTGAAGGCTGTAAGAGAGAAAAAACAAATAACATACAAAGGTAAAACCATCAAAATCACAGTAGACTTCTCAACAGAAACATTAAAAGCAAGAAGAGTTTGGGGGTGAGGTCTTCCGGGCACAGAATGAAAATAACTTCAACCCTAGGATACTCTACCCAGCAAAACTATCATTCAAAATAGATGGAGAAATACAAGTCTTCCATGATGAGCAGAAACAAACAATATGTGACCACAAAGCCCACCACTACAAAAGATTCTTCAAAGGATTCTTCACATGGAAAGTGAAACCCAACATAACCATGAAAGGACAGGCAATACCAAACACCAGGAAAAGAAAAAGCAAGAAAGAAGAGAGTAACATCGATTTAGATACATACAATCAAACCTTCAAACAACTAAGACAACTAAATGACAGGAATCACCACATACCTATCAGTACTAACGCTTAATGTTAATGGACTTAATTTCACCATCAAAGGCACCATTTGATGAACTGGATTACAAAGGAAGATCCAACAATTTGTTGCTTACAAGAGACCCTTCTCACTGATAGAAATAAGCATACGCTTAGGATGAAAGGCTGGAAGATTTACCAAGCCAATGGCCCCTGAAAATATGAAAATAGGCAGGAGTAGCAATACTTATCTCTGACAAAGTAGACTTCAAACCTACATTGATCAAATGAGATAAAGAAGGACACTCTAT